CATGATTTAAAAAACGATAACGTAACTCTGTTTACAGGAAATTCGATTTTTATTTCGTATTCATTATTTAAGGCTCAAGACACCGTCACTCAATTAGGATTATTCTTGTTTTTTTTTTTTTTTTTAATATTCTTCATTCATCATCATTAGTATACATTCACACACAAGCCATCCGAAAATTTAAAGCGAGTATTTCATGATTTTTCATCGTATATTTTCAGGGTAAAACACCTTCACTGCATTTACTTACTTTTGTTCTTCGTAGCATTCCACAATTTCACGTAATCGAATACACAAAATTAATATAAACTGGAGGTGAAATCTCTTGGTGAACAAAATGAACAAAATAAAACACCAAGAAAATCATTTCGACTCCACTTCTTTCCAAACGAACGTAAAAGAATCATTGAACAAGCGTTGCCAGATGTATTAGGTGAAATGGATGTAATGTCGGCCTAAATGTCTCTAATTTGGGCCTATACATAAATTCAGCAATCTAAAATTGATAAATAGCTGATTTTTAGCGATGGGACCAATCTTAGATCCATATGCCAACATTAGAGCCATTTCCCCTACCCTCTAGCAGTAGACTGGCCCACATTTATATGGCGGAAATTTTTTATCATTTTTTTCAACGGGCTAAATAAATTTTAAATCAAAAGCGCCAGCTCATGTTACATGCGAATGAGCTGAAATTTTCAGAGAGTGGTTTTCTCACCTAATGGCACAAATCTAGGGGTTGGCCCGTGGAAAATTAGAACTTTTTATTTTTGTGGGCCAGTCTACTCTATAAGTGATTGTAAGATTATTAAAACATGCACATACGAAGTTTAAACCAGTAACTTAGATGAGTGGATGTTTCTAATGGTGAATAAATATTAAAAACTAAATATATAAAACCTTTTACCGTTTTTGGAACTTAAACGTTCCAATTTGAAAGGTAATTTTTTTTATTTAAACACAAACAGGGGAGATGGCATGTATCCTGTTATTGGCTTTCCCGCCAAAATAAAATTTCATACAGTGTGGTCTGGTAGTGTAAATGTTTTGTTTTCGACATTCTTATACACGTGCATGTGTGGCGTCACCTTTACTGTTGTATTGAAACGTAAAAGAATAAAAGAGATGGTACATTTTGATCACCATACCAGTTGATATGTATAAACTTTCAAAGCGAATCAAAACAAACATTGTGCAGTACTAGAATTTTGACTAGCTATGAAAGTTTGACAGATAAAATGAGGGGTTAGTGGATTTTCCTATGTTTCGAGGGGTGAATCGATTAGCTTGAGACCGAAGAGAGTACCAGAGCTGAGCCAAAAAGTTGAGCACGTTTCTTCGGGCCTTCTAGTCTTAGAGTTACCTCTATGTTAGTACCAACAATCAATACGAAACTAACGATTTTAAATTGGCTCACTACTTGACTAGCCTATTGGTCCCAAGCAAACGATTAACGTACCCCACTCTAGTTGAAATTCTAGTACCACACAATGTTTGTTTTGATTCGCTATTAAAGTTTGACAGATAAAATGAGGGGTTAGTGGATTTTCCTATGTTTCGAGGGATGAATCGATTAGCTTGTGATTGAAGATAGTACCAGAGCTGAGCCAAAAAGTTGAGCACGTTTTCGGGACCTTCTAGTCTTAAAGTTACCTCTATGGTAGTACCATAGAGGTAACTCTAAGACTAGAAGGTTTCGAAGAAACGTGGTCAACTTTTTGGCTGAAACAAGCAGGGGTGATCCAAAGTCGTGCTTAGATATTCTGGGACACCCTATAATTGTTAAATATTTGAGTGTTTTTACTTTCTGAATCCAGTGGCACATCCACTGCCTATAATCGCATATCAGTCCCATATGGATTTTCTTCAATTTTAAGGTAATAACTTTATCCACTATCAATTGGCATCTACTTTCATATTACGTGATAAAACTACGGACTTTGATCATGAAAAATGTGAAAACAACATCAAGTCAGTTTGTCCCATCAAGCAAAGTAATCGCATATCAGTCCCATCCTGAAATTCAATCATCCAGAGGTCTAGCCACATTTCTGTTTTTTGAATCGCCATATTTTTCGTTAATATAACAATACATGCAAGCTTCATTGCAACTGATTTTAACTTGACAAAATTGTCGATTAATTTACTATGATTGTTTTAATATTTACATGGAAATTGCACTTCTTAACTTCAGCTGCCATTTTCTCAATGCCTACTTTTTCCATATGGGACTGATATGGGGTTATAGGCAGTCCAGGCATGGCAACTCATTTACATTAATTTCGTGCATTCATTTACATTCATTTTCCTGGGGTGCACTTTAGAGAAAAAGGCTATAGAAAGATAGTCGCTGCTAAGGTTGCCAAGAATACGTAAATTCCCCTATAAAACTTTTGTAGATTTTGGTTTTAGCTAAAAGTTTTGTGAAAAATTCAAATCTGTAGCTCGTATGCTACAGTATAAAAACTTGTTATACTAGCTACAACTTTTGTAAATTACATTCACTGAAAAATAATAACCTGCTCGCTCTATTTCTTCATGCATAAGAGCTACAGATCGAGGGGGTGACACATCTAAATCTCAATTCTAGATGCTCAACAAATCTCACACTAGCGAATCAATCTTCGAAAAATCTTCTTTCATTTCTCGCATCTACTTGCATTGCACATCATCTTTTTGCAGGAAATCTTCAGAATCGTCATCGATCTTCTTTCTATCTACTCACAATTTTTCCTACATCATTGATAGAGTCGTTCCCCTCGTTATAGATTTGAATTTTTCACAAAAGTTTTAGCTAATACCAAATCTACAAAAGTTTTATACATAATTTTACGGAATTCTGTTGATGGAAAAAATTAGAGGCAAATGAATGTAAATGAATGCACGAAATCAATGTAAATGATTTACCATGCCTGGACACATCTAAGGGGGGAAGGTTATAGGGTAACTGGATGCAAGAATATAGGGTAACGTGATATGCGCTCGGTCTATGCTCTTTTCCGAACACATAGGGGAAATGGCTCTAATGTTGGCCTATGGATCTAAGATTGGGCCCATCACTAAAAATCTTCTATTTATCAATTTTATCTAGATTAACGCGTCATTTGAACGGTACTAATGGATATTTTGGTCGCTATTGAAAATTTAGTCGATTGCTGAATTTATGTATGGGCCCAAATTAGGGACACTTAGGCCGACATTACATCCATTTCCCCTAGTTCGATTTTTTAATAGATGCTATTTTACGTCATGATAAAATAATGTTGAAGGGACATTTTTAGGGTTCATTTATTATAGAGCGTATGGCCCATTTGGCATATGTGACCCATTTCCGTCATAAACGTCAAACAATGAATACAAACAGCTTACATTCAACATTTTTGCATCAAATACTTTGCTCACGAGTTAAATTACGAATATTGTAAATTAAATTGTACCGGCTGTCAGAAGGCGCCCTTAAATCAGGGGTTGTGCTGAAGTTAAATGAGGTGTGCTGAAATGCGGTCACACCCTACTGCTTATCCGACTGAACATTGAAAACTGAACTGCTTTAATTAAATATCATGGCTGGTATATTTAGAAATATATAACCGTGAACTTGTTTCGATCAGTTGACTCTATTCCTTTTAGGAATATGGATGTATTATTTGACCTAACGTTTTGAAGCAGCTGCTTTGGTATAATATCAGTCATTCATAGGACTGATAACATATAGGCTAAAATATGCAGTATTTTAAACAAATTAATTTATTCTACATTGAATAAAGCCGGAATTAAACATTAATTTAACTTTTGTCATCCTGCCTCCTTCAAATTTTCTGTGTTTTATTCTTATTTTACATCAACAGGTTGGATGAAGCCCCAATGATGTTAACCTTATCAACTATGGTAAAAAAATACATTTAAGCATGGTCATAACATAAAAAAAAAACAGGGGAAATGCAGGTAATGTCGGCCTAAGTGTCCCTAATTTGGGCCCATACATAAATTCAGCAATCGACTAAATTTTCAATAGCAACCAAAAATATCCATTAGTAACGTCCCAATAACGCGTTCATCTAGATAAAATTGATAAATAGTAGATTTTTAGCGATGGGCCCAATCTTAGATCCATAGGCCAACATTAGAGACATTTCCCCTATATCTTATAGTCAGTTACTCCTGCCGGCAAAAAACAGAAGAAAACTTTCGACGAAGCGCATCACGAGAGCTGAAAGTCGAAAACAGATGCAACTCTGTTGAATGTTCTCTGCAGTCCGCAAATCACGCCGTAGCTCCATAATTTGTGCGACGTAGAGGCAGTCTTAGCATAAGGTTGTTACGAAGCGGTCGGGGTTGAACATTCAGGTCAATTTGCCTCAGGATAGCCTAGCAATCTGTCCTTCCTTGCAGGATATCGGCCACGGTTAGTGCTCTGCTTGTGTCTCTTTTAGTCGGGAGAAGTTCTAGGTCGATAAGTTGACAACGGCTTTCGTAACTGGGTAATCGAAACGGATCATTCCAAGGCAATCTACGCAACGCAAAACGAAAACATGAAGGGGAAAATACATATATGAGACATTAAGAAAATTTCATGCTCTTTCGAAAATTGTAACATGTTTAATCCAAGCGATCATAATTTGTATAATGATTCTTACAGGACACCAAGACGGTATCTCAAGAATGAAAGAAATGGCACTAACACAGAAAATTGACTTATTCAAAATTATATTTTTGATTTAAAAGATACATCAAATATTGTGCGGCCGGTCAGGGGCGCACCTGTGCATCCGATCAGGAAACGGTAGGGGCAATGCGTAGAGGGAGAGAGAGAGAGAAAGAGTTTGTAGCGTGGTTTATGGTGGTCAGCTGCTCCAACCGGCACTTATGATTCTGGTATCCATTGGGTGCTTCTTCAAATCCGCGCAGATCCGTAGTTTGGCGTACCTCCCCGAAGTCTCTCCGACGAAGTGGGGTCCGATATGATATAGGATGTGATATAATTAACGTTTGATGAGTAGTATTTCGAACAATTTATTAGAATAAAACCAGATAATTTTCATTGAATTAAACATAAGCACATATAATAATCAACTTTTCGAACGTAAGAAAAGGCAGAAATTTAAATTCTTTATTTTATAGACATTTCCACAGTATCTCCTTGTGGTGGACATCTGTAGAAATTATATTCTTATTGAATACAGCGACAGTAATCCAAACATGTCTTAAACTTATCTATATAAATAAATGAGGGAATATCTATAGCTCGTTACTTTCAAGACAATACTATTGTGAAAATAAAGGATTATTTTTCAATATGCAACAACTTTTTTATATGAAATATGAATAACAAGGAATCAAGCACTTTAGACTCGTTTGTGGTACATCTTCGGCATTCAGCAAAAATTAAAATCAAAACAGATCAACGATATTTAAATCTAAAAATATATCAACGATGTGATCGTTTCTATCTCTTCTATCTTTTTACTAGGATTTTGTTTGCGTTGAACGCGAACGGCGCTAATGCTTGTAGCAAATATTTGAAAATAATTTCTGTATTCACGTTAAACAGTAGGTATCTATCATTACACTGGCTGTTCGGTCTTTGCCGGCCATATCACCATTACCGACCGCGCAAAATGGACCATTCTGACTTAGATGGTTTTTTCACCGATGTGATTTTCGTTAGCGGCCACTTCCGCTAATGTTGCAAGCGCGAACAGATCGTCAGCCTCAGGCACCATATTTTCCGTTAAGCTTACATCCCGGCGAGTGATGCTTTCTTTGCGGGCCTTCCGCTTACGGCTTCCAACGATTTTCTCCTTCTGTTCAACGGCGGTAACGCGAGGCTTGACCGATGACTTAAATTTACCTGTAATATGGTAAGAAATATGGTTGCAGTGATTGAGACAAAAAAAAAACATCCTAACATTTTAATAATTAATTAAGAACGCCACAGGGTGTTGAAGCCAGTAATCCATAAAAGTGGCTTGAATGACTTTTAGCTGAAAATCGTTACTTTTAAGCAGGGTGCCTTCCATTCATTTTGACTAAAAAATGTTTTAGGAAATTATGGAATAATAAGATATTATGATGGTATTTTGTATGTGTAAGGAATAAGAAAAGATTTTAAAGTTTGTGTTTGACACATAAAACCTGCAAATTTAGCTTTGACAGAGCCACAATGAGTAATTTTCTGATCGCCTCTTCGCGAAGAGTGAAGAGCGAAGAGTGGGTGAGATAAATGACAAAATCGCTTATTGCCACTCTCATGCAGCAACATTGGCTGGAATTATGTGTCAAACACAAACTCCACAATCTTTTCTTGTTGCTTACACAAACAAAATATTATTATAATATCTTATTATTCCATAATTTTTTTTTTTTTTCCCCTTTGGTTTGTTTTTTCCGTCGATCTTGTTTTCCGTGCTGAGCACCAATGCTACCGACGTGCCAGGAAGGCAGCTCCCACACCTGGACCCTACCTATCGACCCATCAACTCATGAACCGGGGACCAACGGCTTTACTTCCCATCCGAAGGAAGGCGTGATCAGAGATGTTATGCCTCAGAACATCCCGGCGGCGCCGACTGGGATTGAACCCAGGCCTGCTGGGGTGAGAGGTAATCACGCTTACTACTACACCACCGGCGCCGTTATTCCATAATTTCATAAAACATTTTTTTAGCTTAAATGAATGGAAGGCACCCTGCTTTTAAGTAACCTGCTATCAGCTTTGTACTTGGCTGCATTCGAATCGATTTTACTATTTCCTAGGACAAGTGAATGAGATACTCATACCTCATGTGGTTACATACCTTTGATTTTCTTTTTCTTCTTGGTGTCCTTCTTTTTTGTCAGATATTCATCAAGATCCAGGCATGGTAATTCATTGATTTTTTTGTCTAAATCAAAATCCGAAGCATCAAAATGCTGGTTGGGCTCGTTTTTGACTACAACGCTCGTTTCTTCGTACGTATCGTTTCCGGTGTGGTTTTGGTCCATCAAGGCATTTAGTTTATGTGCCGGATCATAAGCAGCTTGCTCCGGAATAATAGAAGCTGTTTCTGCTGCCACTGTAGCCACAGCCAGTGGTTCTTCTCGAACGACAGTTGCGCTTTTAGAAGCCTTTTTTGAAGCCGAGCTCAGTCTCGTTAGTGTCATGAATTCCTTATATCGTTTTCCTTTGCATGCGCGCGCAGTCTTTCTTGTATAATCCTCATCGTAGTATTCGTAGTGCATAGAATCAAAAGCTCTCTTAAACCGTTTACTATCGTAGGCACTCAACTCACGATTTGCATCGTTCGGACGTTTGGAATAAAAATGATTTTTCATGTTGATGCATGGTTCTATCAGCATTCTAGGTTCAGTTGAATTAGGATCTAGTAATGTTCTCTCCGGTTTGACCTCATAGTGGTCAGTGCTCATGCAATCTGTAAAATAGGATGTTTGATAGTGACACAAATAGGCTGCAGCATTAGAAAATAATAAATGGGAAATTGGGGCATCGAAGGCACCGCAGAAAATGTTAATCACTAGATTTAGCATTCTGAATGACAAAGACCGATGAAAGAACCTTGATTTTGAAGTAGTGTGCTAGTGTGATCTCACGATAGTATCTTATTGCATGCACGCAGACAAAGCCCTTGCGCGCGATATCATACAGTCAGTATCTGGGATACGGGAACGGCAATACTACGGGTGGCACTACCCAGCATCAATATAATGATTCCGATATTGCGCATTTCACGCCAAACTTGACAAATAAGCGCGTTTTCCCTTATTAAAAAGTTTGATAAAAGTGCGAGTTTATGACTCATCGTCACTTCTATCACATTTTTTGCAGTTTAAGATGCATTCAGCAATAACTGAGGCCAATGAGATGTAAACAGGTCCCAGAGAAATTGTCGTCTCTTTCGGTCCTCCGCTGTTTAAATGGATGCCGGAATTTGGCGTCAAACTCCGTCAATCATTCGAACAGTATATTGCCGGTAACCACAAGTCAGTCCCATCTGAATTTTTATCAATTTTGTTCAATTTTTTTTTATGTTTATGAGCAGTGCAATTAAAAAAGGTGGTTTGTTCAGAAAAAATTAAAAACAATACCAAATAAAATCGTCACACAGCGAAAAGTAGTCGCAAGTCAGTCCAATTAGTAAAAAAGTGATGATTTCATTTTATATACTAAAAACGTCACAGCTATCTTTTTAGGCATGAATTAAGAATGCTGGACATATTGCATGATGATAATTTACTCAAGATAGATTTTGCCCACTTCCCCTAGGGTACCCGGAACATGTCCGTGTGTAGCCAATGTGGTTCTTGCGGCCCTCAATATTACCGTCAATGGTTATGGTTTTGAATTCTCATGTGATTTGATGCATTTTGATTTAAAAAGGTTTCACCACTTTCCCCGGGGGACCCGAAATGTCTGCGTTCGGCCAACATGGTACTGGTTACTCATCATCTTATGTTCGAATTCTAATGTGAATTGATTTGTCGCATGGTGGGTTTGGCATATTTTTGAAAAAAAATCTGATCTCAAGACCCGTACTCGGCAGAATATGTTGATGATGATGATAATGGTCCCACCTCTTACCCTTACAAAGATTTGAGCTGGACGAGTTATCTTTAAGATAATTAAATATAAATGTTCCCGTAAGTCGGAACTAACACCGTTCTTCTAGTTGCGTACTCAGCAGCTTCAAAGCTGTAATTTATTACGTTATGTTAGTGGTGATACAAAGGTAATTATATAATAATTATCTTACATTTTCAGTGTTCTTTTACAGATTATTTCAGGTCAACGTTTGCCATGGAAGGACGATTCCAGTTCAATCTAATAGTAAGTACAATCAAGGGTAAGTATTTTAGGTCCTTTTTAGGTTACGCGACAAATCAAAGGTAAGTGTTATGTTTATGATTTCAGGGAAAACATACCTCAATAATATCTAAGTTACCACTTACTACGTGGCAAATTCAGCAAGGGTTGAATAAACCGTTTAGGTGGCTATAATAAACGTTGTTTAATCAATGTCTTCGAATTTTGAATTTACTTAAACTTACGAAAAACGTCTCGATTTTACCTCACTGCACTATCAAGTTTTCTTCAATTTTGCTGACTAACTCGCCTCGTATTGTTCTGTTTGTTTACTTCTATCGTTCACTTCGCCCGACAACGGTGTTTTGCTCGCGAGGGTTCAGTCAATTGGTTCACCACCAATTCGCCGCAACGAGGGGTATCGGCGACATCCCCCGACCCGTGAACCACTTCCGTATCCGGAGCGACTTCGTCTATCATCTTGTCCTTGCCGGCAACGTCTAGAACCGCTAGCTTCACCGCAGGTCTAGCAAACACTCCCCTAGCAGTCTGCACCGTAGCACGCCTCACCTGACCTGATTTGTCCGGAAAAATCTCCAGAATCCGTCCCCGCTCCCATCGGTTCCTCGCATGTTCGTCTACTATCACGACTAGATCGCCAGGTTCCAGCGGCTTTACTGCTTCGAACCATTTCGTTCGCCTCGTAAGCGTTGGGAGATATTCCCGCACCCATCTGCGCCAGAAATCGTCCACAATGTGCTGCGCAAGCTTCCAGCTGTCTCGAAGGATGTTCCCGTTCACAGGATCAGTCGCTGGTTGTTTTATGCCGGTAGATCCGTACAGCAGAAAGTGGTTTGGCGTGAGTGCCTCTTCGTTTGCCGCCTCCAAGGGCACGTATGTCAGCGGTCGCGAATTTACAATTGCTTCAGCCTCCAGCATGATCGTTTCCAACACCTCGTCGCTAGGATGTCGCTGACTATCGGAAATAGCCTTCATCGCCACCTTCACGGACTTGACCATACGTTCCCATGGTCCTCCCATGTGCGGAGCTGCCGGAACGTTGAAGTGCCACTGGGTATTCGCATTTGTGAATGTAGCGGCACAGTCCTCGATGATGTCCTGGATCTTCTGCTTCTCTTCTGACAACTGGCGATTGGCTCCAACAAAGTTTGTGCCATTGTCCGAAAATACCTCCAGTGGTGCGCCCCGTCTGGCTACAAATCTCCTGAAGGCCATCACGCAGGCGATCGATGAGAGACTGTGCACCAGCTCTAGATGTACAGCCCGTACTGTGAGACAGGTGAACAGACACATCCATCTCTTCACCACGCTGCGTCCGACTTTGACTTCGAAGGGCCCCATGTAGTCCACGCCGACGTACGTGAACGGTCGAACGAATGGTGTTAGGCGCACCCTTGGCAGTGGCCCCATCATCGGTGGTACAGGAACTGCCTTCTTCACCTTGCAGTACTGACAACTTCGGCCAACTTTTCGTACGAGCACCCGAAGCTTGTGTATGTAGTACTCCTGCCGTATTTCATTGCAGACTGTTTCCCCGTTGGCGTGCAGGAACCGTTGGTGGAAAGAATCCACCAAAAGGAAAGTGATACGATGATCTCTTGGCAGCACAACGGGATGTTTCGCTGCGTATGGAATGTGTGGTGCGCTTCCGATTCGACCTCCTACCCGAACGACTCCGTATTCATCCAAAAATGGAACCAGGGAGTGCAGTGAACTTCGTTTTCCAACGCTGTAACCATTTGTTAGCTCGTGAACCTCCTCCGAATACGCATGCGCTTGAGCCTGGCGCCAAAGTGTATCCTTTGCTTTCACGAAATCGTCTCGATCGAGGCCTTGCCGTCGACTTTCTTCGTACATAGTTCGCTTCCAGATCCTTACCGCACGGTGAACGTTGGCCATCGTTCGGACTAAACGATTCCATTTCGAAAAGCGTTCAACGACAACTACCTCGTCAGCCGTTTGATGTACGGCTACCATGCGAAGTTCTTCGCTTGCCGCATCCGTTTTGTCTACTACTACTGCTGATTCTCTTGGCCACTGCTCTTTTGCATCTCGTAGGAATGTTGGGCCTTGAAACCAACGGTTATCTGGATCGAACGATGGTCCCGAATTCCACTTGGTGGCATCGTCAGCCACGTTGAGCTTTGAGGGTACGTAATGCCATTCATCCACACTCGTGAGCGAAAGAATTTCACCAACCCGAAAAGACACGAACTGATGGTATCGGCGGCTGTCCGATCGCAGCCACGCCAGAACAGTAGCTGAGTCCGTCCACAGAAAACGCTTCCGAATGTTGAGAGTGAGCGCCGAACAAACGTTTTGCAACAAACGTGATCCCATCATGGCAGCCTGAAGTTCCAGGCGAGGGATTGAGAGCGCTCGAAGTGGCGCGACTTTTGTCTTTGCTGCTACCAACGAACACCAGCTACCTCCGTTGACCGACAACCGCAAGTATACTACGCATGCACATGCTGTGACACTAGCATCCGTGAACACGTGGATTTCTATTTCGTCAACTTCCTTCGGCAGAAGATGCCCGAAAAAGCAGCGAGGAACTTCCACTTCATTAATTGTTTCGTACAGCTCGATCCATCTACTCCATAGATCGTGTAGCTGCTCTTCTATGGGCTCGTCCCAGTTGGTACCCATTCGCCAGATCTCTTGCATTAGGATTTTGCCCTGTACAACGAAGTGCGCAACGAATCCCAACGGATCGTACAGCTTCATCACGGTTCGTAGAACTTGCCTCTTCGTTGGAACCACCCCGTTGCTGCCCAAAACATCCTTGAGCCCTGTCTGATCGAATGTGAAATGATCTGCTGAAGGGACCCACACCACTCCTAAGACGCGTTCGTAGACTTCATCTTTATCTAGGTTCAGCGACTTGCAGGCTGACGATCCAGTCTCCCCTAGACGATCGAGAACATCCTGCGAGTTAGACAGGATTTTGCCGAATTCGAAGCCTGCTGCTGCGTGGATGAGCTGCACTTGTTCGACAAGCTGTACTGCTTCCTCCACCGAGTTGACACTGTCGAGAAAGTCATCCACGTAGTGGTTATTGATGATCGCATCTACTGCTCTGGGATATAGTTCCACGTAGTCGAGAGCGTTTTTGTTTTTAACGAACTGCGCCGTGCATGGAGAGCTGGTTGCACCGAACATCGCTACGTTGATCACGTAGACCTGCACTTCATCCTCTGGACTGCTACGCCATAAGAAACACTGCGACCACTTGTCTGCCTCCCTAATCAGGATTCTCAGGAACATTTCGCGGATATCGGAGCACACCGCAATCTTGCCTTCCCTGAATCGTAACAAAACTTCCACGAGTGATACGAGAAGATCCGGACCCTTTAGCAGCATGTCATTAAATGAAACACCACCCGCCTTTGCAGCAGCATCCCACACCATTCTGATTTTGTTCGGTTTCTTAGGATTCGTCACCACTCCTAACGGAAGGAACCAGACTCGCTCAGGGTTCGTGTTCTCCAGCTCTTCCGACGACATCTTACAGACGTACTGCTTCTGTTCGTAGCTCTCTATTTGCTCGTTTACTCTTCTGCGCAGCTCTGGATCTTTTGCCAACCGTTT